CCCGAAACCACCTCTTCTACAATACAGTTCTTTGTTAACACTTGTTACATGGGTTCAATGGCCCATGTAGTTTTAATATATCTCACTTTTTTCTCCTTAGCCTCTCTTCCACCAATGGCTACACTAAGTGACATGCTATAAGATTGGATGAAAGGTTATGCTGTTTTGCCTACCCAACAAAAGTCTTTGAATTCAGAAAATAGTTCATTTGTTACATTTACTCCTGCTTTTTGATGCAATGATTTTACTCTCATAGAGACTTCTTTTGATATAGCTCTCTAAGTTGCTGAAAGGATGCAACCTTTTTTGAAGCATTAACCACATTAAACCACACTGACACAGTTAATGTGGTTTATCTGAATCTGTTCGTCATTGGGACCATATCTCACCCTGCTTTGCTTTTGCTGCATTTATTCCCTTTTAGTGAAATGGGAAATTTCTGGTCAACATCTAGTAACACTCACTCCTTCACTTGCCTTTTGTACTATATTATCTCCCTTGCCTCAATCCATCACTTCTAGTATTCCCCAGGAGCAAATCAAATGATACAGTAATGTTTTGTCTGTATTCAAAAGCAGTCATCTTATTTCTAGGAAAAGCATCTACCTGTCAGGAAAAATAATCCATTATTCATCTTTTCAGCTGATGATGGATAGTTTTCCCTGCATAATCAACCTGAACGTGCTCCCTAGAAGGCCGTCTCATCAGAGCTGCTCTTCTGAGCTGGTTGTCTTGCTTTTGCTGGCAAAAAGCAGACAAACATTAACATGCTTTTTCAGGGTTTTTTTCCATTCCATTTACCATGCAATGCCACCTAGCTTCCTTTTGCTTTGGACAGTGTAGGGTAACTTCCTTCAAGCAGAACAATAAAATTTTCATATTTCTTGATGTCATCCAGATAAGTCCTTCCTCACTGACCGTACACACAATACCTTGCGGTACTTTGAGAGATTTCCAGTGCTGCATTCACTGTTTATGTCTAGCACAATTAAACAATGGTTTCATTTCTTCATTGTTTGTTTGGATTTGCTGGGTCTGTTCTGCTTTTGCTTCTCTGACTGCTGATAACCCCTCGTGCCACTCTCATGCCACTGGCATGCCACTCTTATGCCACTAAGCTATTTCCCAGGCTGCTGGAGGAGAGGCTATTATAACTGTGTCTTAAGCAGCCATATCAGCTAAGTTACATCCTTTTACTGATGTAGTTTTTTTTAATGTGCTCTGACAACTGCATAGAGTCTAAGAGCTCTAACTGCTACAACTTCTGACATTCTTCAAAGACAATGGCAGGGGTAAATTACAGGATGGTGGAAGAGGACTCATGAGATTTTGAGAGCTTAATCATAGACATGAGACACAATCACTTCCAGCTGGCTTTTTGCAGGTGTTTCCCCATGTGCCATAGGGGACTTTCCTACAGTGTCAATGGCAGCCCTAGAAAAAGGTACAGGATAGCCCTCTACAGTGCCTGCGCTGAAGGAAATACCCTCTCTCTGCAGGGAATCATGATGAAGTGAAAAGCAGTTGTGCATGCTAGCTTGAAATTGTGACAATAAAGAAACTCACTTCAAAGCCTACAGTTTCATGTGATCAGCTATGGAAAATGAAAAAGCAAAGACAGGGAGAGAGGAGAGCTTTCAGATTCTGGGGTAAAATATGAAAAGAAAAAGTGAAGGTGCAATTTATATTGCAGCAAAGTTAGCTGAGGATATTGGACAACTTGGAATTTGGCAAAAATTATGTCGGTTTTGTTCTTTGTTATAAATTATGCAGAAATGCAAAGGAAACTAAGGGTTCTGGTAATGGGTTGGGAAGTGAAACTCTTGCTAAGAAAAAAAAATATCCCCACATGCTACATACTCTGACTCTTGGACTGAAAACTCAAAAGTCAGAATACTTGTTTGAAAAACCATGTTCTGCCAGTTTGGTGTGCTAATATACACCTTCCTATTTCTAGTATCATCATTCAGAATAATTTCTTTAGGCTAGAACTATCTCTCCATTGACTGAAGAGTTGGTTTGATTTATTTACTGTGACAGGCAGGGGTCAGAGAACCATTCGTAAAGCAAAAGGCACAAACCTTTGCTGATTCTGTTGTCTCACAGATTTCATTCTGCTACAGCTGGTGGCTGAGCATTTCTGCCTGGGATGGCGGAGGACCAGGAGCTGACTCAGCCGCACAAAGCTCAACTCGAGCCCTCCCTTCAGCAGCGCACCAGCAACACATACCGCAGTGCAGAGCACTCTCAGGCCTTGCTCAGTGGCTTGGTATCTCTGCGAGACAGCAGCATCCTCTTCGATGTAGTTCTTGTAGTGGAAGAGAAACCTATTGAGGCTCATCGCATACTTCTAGCTGCATCCTGTGACTACTTCAGGTATACTTCAGTATGGCAGTAACAAGCATGTGTCTGAATGTTACTCAAACCTGCAACATCCAAATCTTCTGTCTTGGCACGCTGCTTCTGGATGTAAAATTAGACCCATAAGATGGAGCTGAGTGTGTTTCAAAACACTAAGTATGGCTTTATTAATCTCTCTGTTATGTCTCTACAGAAATAAAGCTCTTCTTACTGCACACTGAGCTTACCTCCACTAAATTCACTGCCTGTGGTACTTGGAGGTATATAAAGAGGAGAGACTATGTTAACAAGTGTCTTCGGCATAAATGCACTCTGGGTGGGTTTTCTTACAATCCTTAGCATTGTAAGACTTTGCCCATTGTGGTCATCATTTCATAATGCACAAAAAGTCACTGGAAGTGGGTCACTCCTCTGTTACTTGCCTATAGTGTGCCTCGCTGTCCATTAAGTGAGGCACTCCCCTGGTCAGTTTGATTAGCAGTTTCTTGAACTGACTTTATTTTCATAGAGCAAGCAAACAATTCCCAAGGCAATCCAGACAAACTTCTAACTGGATGAAGAACTGCTCTAGTTTAGAAAAAATTCCTACAGTCCCAAGCTCCTTTATTTCCCCGACACCCACAGTATCTGCCTCTGCCCGTTGACTATCCATATGTACTGGATCTGTATTTAAGTCCTTCAGTTGTGAATCATACAGTTCAGATGGCCCCTACTGTTCTCCCGCAGAATGAAGAGTATTACTTTCTGAGATCCTAAAGGCCTGTACTCTTTGCATCATTGGGTTAAAGAAGAGGTAATCCCATAAAAGTGTCTGGCTAGTTTTTTATCTTTCTGAATATTTTTTCATGTTCCCAGGACAACATAAGATAAGCAAGCTGAAAATAGCTTCAGTGCAAATCTGCCACAGTGTGTGCCGTTGTCTTTTTTACAGAGGAATGTTTGCAGGAGGACTGAGAGAGATGGAACAAGAAGAAGTTCATATTCATGGCATCTCGTACAATGCAATGTGTAAAATCTTGAACTTCATTTACACTTCTGAGCTGGAACTCAGTGTGAACAGTGTACAGGAAACCTTAGCTGCAGCCTGTCAGCTTCAGGTGAGGTACTGGGAGATGTGACAAAAAAGAAGCAAGAAACAAAAGCATCAATGAAAGAAAACATGGATATGTGGTTAGATGGAGGGTTAGGGGGTGAAAAAGAGCATGGGTCTGATGAGAAGAATTACTTTGGGATGCTGTATTCACTGGAACTAACTATGGAAGGTAGGAACAATGAATGATTGCATGCACATCTCATTTGTGCCAATGCTTTTATTACTTATAAAAATGTACCATTTTATCTAGAGGACTAATTTATGCAGCACTTACTTCCACTGATCTGCTTATGAAAGCTTCCCTAAAATAGAATACCTCTGGCCTATGATAAAGGACAGGGCTTGCTGCTCAGAAATTGTGTTGCTCACGCCTGCCAAGATCTTCCCCACATTGAGTCCACAGGCACATAACCTCCCCTGACCTCGTCACTACAGGAAATCCTACCACGATGGTTTCTGCACTAAGTGCAGAGTTCATGTGCCTTTAAGACAAGTTTTTACTCTCTAATTTACCCTGCAGCTAACCACCGCGCAAGGCTTTAGCACTAAATCCTAAACTTTCTGGGTGCTTGCTCTGGTTGGTTTCTATACACTTGGCACCATTTTGTTAGCAGAGGGGCTCTTAGACAGCAGTTAGTTCTTTATTTGCCAGTAGTCCCTCCTGCCAGATACAACTTCAAATTGTATTCAGAAGACAACACTAAATATTAATTTTCCTTTTGAATGGCTTCCTGTGCTCTTCAGTGATGCAGATAGATATTTTTACAGATACAGTCTTTGATACAGTATGCTGAAACCAGGACATATGTTTATAGTGCTCTGAAAGGCCAATTACAGAGTGGCTGTAAACCTGGCTTTTATCATGTCCTTCATGCCTTCCATTTACGTGACTGCCTCCCAGGCAGCGGGCACCATGGTGCCACGCTAACAAACCAGGCAGCCTGGCTGTCCAGTGTCCCATGTGTCTTGGAAGACACGCTGCTGCTACACCTGAAGCCAAACTCATAGACTTGCAGTATAGCATGGCTAGAGAATCTGTTTCATATTCATCTATATACCCACGTTGAGTTCTTTGTCTCTGGAGAAAGATGAATTGGGCGCAAGTGAACATGGTGATCAGACTGTGGGGAGAGCAGTTGTCTTGTGGACAGCTATCTTACAGTCATCCCAGGCTTCTGTGACCTGCGTGTTGAGTGTGAGGCAAGTGGTGTCTGAAATGAAAAATATCTCTCTCTTGCAGATTCCAGAAGTCATTAAGTTCTGTTGTGATTTTCTCATGTCCTGGGTGGATGAAGAGAACATCCTTGACGTATACAGACTAGCTGACCATTATGACTTGAGACATTTGAGTGATCAGCTGGACTCCTACATTTTGAAGAATTTTGCAGCTTTCTCAAGGACACAAGTGTACCGACAGCTGCCCTTGCAGAAGGTCTACTCCCTTCTCAGCAGCAACCGTTTGGAGGTTAACTATGAGTTTGAAGTTTATGATGGGGCACTTTTTTATCATTATTCTCCAGAGCAACTGGAGACAGATCAGGTCTCCCTGATGGAGCCCCTTAAGCTGCTTGAAACAGTTCGTTTTCCTCTCATGGAACCTCAGATCCTGCAAAGGCTTCATGACAAATTAAGTCCATGTCCTTTAAAAGATACAGTTGCAGATGCATTAATGTACCACAAGAATGAATGTCTTCAGCCAATGCGTCAGAGCTCCCAGACACAGCTGAGATCAGAGTTCCAGTGTGTGGTGGGATTTGGAGGGATGCATTCTACTCCATCCATTGTCCTCAGTGATCAAGCCAAGTATCTGAACCCCTTGTTGGGAGAGTGGAGGCACTTTACAGCTGCACTAGCCCCCAGAATGTCCAACCAGGGGATTGCTGTTCTCAATAATTTTGTGTATTTAATAGGCGGAGACAACAATGTAAGTGGTTTTCGAGCAGAGTCAAGGTGTTGGAGGTAAGATAAGGATAATCCTGCTATTACTTTTATTCCCACTCTGTTGCCATTTCCATTTCTGAGTCAGTGAGCCAGTAGTGCAGGCTGTATGCTTGCCAGCCAAAAATTAGGAACTGAGCAGGGTCCTCACTGAAAGAAAACAAGAAATAAAGAAATGAGCCTCGTAGTAACAAGAAGCTTCCAACAGTGCCTATGGGACAAAGCCAAGTCTGACAGGGTAGAAATAGATACTCATTCAAGAGCATTACATGTACTACTTTTTGTCCTGTTGGGAGGCACGAAGTATTAAAGGTGTGGGAAGCGCTAGAATCCTAGATTGTCTAAAAGCTCTTGAACTAGGATTTTCTAGAAGTCTTCTGTGTGTAGTTTTAGTCCCAATACAAAGGCATTTAGCTACCAAAAAGGATTTTAAAATAAAATGCTATTACTGGTTGTTTATCGAGAATTTGTGTGCACAGTAGCAGCATTCCAGTGTCCTCTTAAGTGCTTCTGTGCCAGGGAAAAGAGCAGGAGGAAGGATCAGTTTTAGATCATAATGCCCATTACATTGCAAAACCTGATATAAACCCTTCTATCTTTATAATGTGGTTATTTTTACTAGTTTTAGCTGAGTTGCCCTTATTTTATGTCACGCATAGTTTCACTTCACCACCAGTTTTCTCTGTAACTAAAATTTCCAGACCAGATAGATATTTTGATCTGAAAATTAATTGCGAGGTTCACGTTGAGCAGTAGATATTTAGGGGGAAAAAAAATCAAAGAACCCACCACATATTTATGCCCTTCTTGGCCTCTTGAAGATCCAGATTCAGTCTTTGTGCTATTTTTAGACTGTTCTACCTTGTAGAATGGCTTTGTGCAAGCAGAGATTTTGATATATAACCTGACAGCAGTGTATAAGATAATGGAAAACCTAGGCTTTTATAGCATGATTATATTAGCTAAAATACATCTTCTAAAAATAGAATAAAACAACTTTGCTGACAAGGCCAAATTTCACTCCACTTGCAGCTGAGCTCAATTTCAGCCAAAGACAGTACAGTAACCCACATCTGTGGTGCTGTCTGGTATTCCAGCAATGATTCTGTGGCTGTATGAATAACTTTCTTTGATCCCATTCTTTTACAAGGTATGACCCGCGACACAACAAATGGTTCCAGATCCAGTCCCTACAGCAAGAGCATGCTGACCTCAGTGTTTGTGTTGTGGACAACTATATATATGCCGTCGCAGGCCGAGATTACCATGAAGACCTGAGGGAAGTGGAGAGGTATGACCCTAAAAGCAACACTTGGGAATATGTGACACCTCTGAAGAAGGAGGTAAGGAGTGCATTAGCCACACACACTATTACAGTTCCCCAGTTACTGATTCAGTCTTTTTAGATGCTTTTCTCATGTGTAGCTTTACATTTACTGATATTCAGATGAGAAGCAGTAGCCTCTGTATATGGGATAAATTAATAACCAAAAAAGGAGAACAATAATATATGTAAACTCCATTTTGAAGTTAAATGTTTATTTTTCTTGTTGTTTTCCCTTGCACATTTATTATGTTAATCCTTAAAACCATTTAAAATTGAACACATACCCCCTGGGAACAGGAAGTTCCCATTCTTCCTAGGCAGGTAAACTATGAGCCACAGTGGTACAAGCTTCTCACTCACAGTCCTAACATGCTTTTACTCCTGATCAGAAGAGATAACGCCCCAGGAAGAAGGTGCGTCACTTTCTATAAACTACTTAGTTCCTGGACACAGAACTGAGATTGGGTAACAAGTTCTGGTGACAATAGCTTATGTGATGCTGAGTCACATCTCCGTCAGCTAATGTAAGACCATTACTCACTTGAAATATGGGAATGAATAGCTATCTTTTATCATCAGTACCATTTATCCTTCTAGAACAGCAATTGCCAAACTAGCAGTAATGACCTCAGGAACCAAGAAATCATGTAGTGACATGGGAATTGGGGCTATGAGTGGAAAAGTTTGTTCCAACTTCTAATATAGCTAAAACATTTTCAGGTTAAAAGTGTTGCAAAGAAGGAAGATAACTACGAACAACTGCTTGATGAATCTTTGTTAGGGAAGAAAACTAAAATCCTGAGTAATCTTTCAGGAAACTATGCTGTTTTCTACTACGCCTTTTAAAAGCTTTGGGGCTAGTGACCAGCACAAAATAATATTTGTGATTTCATAATGCCTCTCAACTGAGAATCTCAGGACACCTCAGAAACATAAATATTACTGCTGTTTTACAAAAGGAATGCAAAGGCAGAAGAGGATAAACAGTTTGTATGAGGTCACAAATAATAAATGTGTGTCAATGCCAGGAATATAAAAAGCCTTAAGATCCAACTGAGTATTGCTAAATAGGATATCTTGCATTCTTAATAACATTGCTTGTATAAGAAAAATCTCCAACAGAAAGACTTCCAAATAGACTAGGGAGAAAAGTAATAGTATGAATAATCTTCTAACAACAAAGAATATGAACCTACTGCAGTTCTGCAAGTTTTAGAAATTCTAGTGTATTTCGTTCAGAAATTCACACTTACAGCGTAATCACCTAGCAAGGGACTGTCTATAAGAAGTCCTTCCAGGTGTTGATACCTGCTTAACTCATGAAGAATGTCACTCCCATGATGTCTCTTCCATACTTTGAAACTGGGAGAAATAAATAAACACAGACCTCAACCTTTCTTTCCTATGTGGTGATCCAGGTATATGCACATGCTGGAGCAGCACTGGATGGGAAGATGTATATTACTTGTGGGAGGAGAGGAGAAGACTATTTGAAGGAGCTGCAATGTTACGACCCGAAGACTGACCGCTGGGACGTTTTAGCAGATGGTCCAGTGAGACGTGCTTGGCACGGGATGGCTGCCCTGCTAGGAAAACTCTATGTAATTGGAGGAAGCAACAATGATTCTGGCTACAGAAGGGATGTTCACCAGGTGAGAGTATGTCATACCTGTGTCCTTCTTGGAAGACTGTTTCTTATGGATGCTTGCACTCTGACGTAATGTCTTTCTCCTAGTAAGTATGCAAATAAAACTGCCCAGCAACAGCTATTGCACCAACTCTCCCCCACTCAGTGGCAGAACTTGCGGTGATTTATTTACTGCTGTCTGCCTAGAATGCACTGTCTAACCCACAAAGCATTAAAGCTCTAGCACTTGGAATTCTTACCAGTTTTAAAACATCTTTGATGGATAACATTCATTGGCATGCACATACCCAATAAGTAGCACATCAACTAAATTTACATTGTCTTCTCACGTGCATTTTTTTCTAAGTTGAGGACCTTTGAATTACCAATGTGTAATTGCAGGACAGAGTTGTTAAGGATATGTTGGATGGCAATTGTATAAGGCAATTATATGTACAGACCCTAATGATAAGCGGTGGCTGGAGAGGATTCTCTTGAGTCTTATTCCAGCTTCTAGAACTGCTAGAGACATGTAAAGAAGACACAAAAAGTAACTGCTGTTACAAAGCCAACGAAGATGGCAGAATTAAATCTAGCTGAAAAGTGTATCTATCTGAATGATAAAAAGGTGCTTAGAAATAAAAGCAGTTAGCCAAGTAGGTAGCCAATGAAATCTAAAACTTTCCAACATATGGAGCAGAGACAGCAGATTTGTCATATTTGTATGTTCCAGCACATATTTTCCTAATGCAAACAGATGCATTATGTCTGAGCTTATATTAGCATGTGTCCCCATCTCTTTCACTTCTGTATACATTTTTTGAATGACATACAGCCATTACCCCAGCAGCAGGGTCAGAAGTTGTAATTCAAAGCTATACGGCAACTATGCTCAGTTTTCTGCTGAGTACTGTACTTCTACTATATAGTGATGTGCTCCCTCCATTATCAACACCCTGCCAAAAGACTGATGATAGTGCATGGCTTCCTAAATAGTTTGCCATATGGCCAGGCTCTTTCACTAAGATACAAGTTCAATTTTGGCTAATCTCTTTCTTTTTTTTACAGGTTGCCTGCTATAGGCCAAGCACTGATCAGTGGACAAATGTATGTCCACTTCCTGCAGGACACGGAGAGCCAGGTATTGCGGTCTTAGACAACAGGATCTATGTCTTAGGAGGCAGATCCCACAACAGAGGAATCCGCATGGACTATGTCCACATTTATGATGCAGAGAGAGACTGTTGGGAGGAAGGACCCCAGTTGGAGGATGATATTTCTGGGATGGCTGCCTGCGTCCTCACTTTGCCCAGGGCTATTTTAATGGAAACTGAGAAATGGTTCTCAGAATGGCCTGCAGACCGCATGAAGTATCACCTTGACTTTCCATCAGAAATTATGAGTGTATCAGACTGGGAGGAATTTGACAATTCAAGTGAAGATTAGAAAACTTTAATATTTATTTTTTGCCAGTGGATGAGGAAATCAAGGCTTGGATAAAATATTTAGAGATTTTATATGTCTTTCTTATATACATAAATCAGTATTTAAAGGTTTGAAAAATCAGTGTTCTGCACAAAATGCATTTCACAGTCAATATCTGCCCATCTGCAAGTGTTCTGCACAAAATGGCACTTACAGTCAGTATCTGCCTACCTGCCAGAAAGCAGCATTTTTAAAGTAACCACAGAACTGCCATTTTCCCCCAGTTAAAGTATAGAGGTTCTTTTCCTTTGAAGGGGAGCTTTTTTCAACCTTCAGCATGGACAGAAAAAATGGCACAGAAGGCTCAGCTTGACTAGCTTCTTTCCTTACAGCTTTTAGCTTGAAATAGCTTTTTGAGATTTTTTTTGCTTTTCTTTTTGGTAATAAAACTTCCTAGCCAGCTTAACACAGGAAGGTAACACCTAGTGTCTCCCTCCTGTGCCAGGTGTCAGACAGCTTGATTGGTTTTTCAGCAAGATTGAACATACAGAAAAAGGAACAGTAGTTAGAAAGTCTGAACCTTCATCTCATCCGGGCATGCAGCCATCTTTGTAACTGAGTTAGAGTCTGTGAACTGACACCCACTCCTGAACTTCTATACTGCAGGTTCTGTCAACATCGTGGAAAGAAGATTTCTACAAAAAACCCTCTGTACAGAGTATGGCAATCTCATCATTCAACTGTCAGATACATTTATTCACAAGCATAAATTAATAAATATTTGTCAGAACTTTTTTCTTTTTAAATACTGTCTCTGTTTTATTAACCATGATGTGGAGTCTGAAAGTTAGTGAGTTTAATTAGATCCTATAGTAGTACATTTGTATCAGTGAAGTAACACCAGCTTGGGAGATGGGCAGTTTTTTTCATTCTTTTATTATATGTTTTAGAAGAGGATAAAGAGAGCAGAGATTGGTTTGCCACAGCGTAAGAAAAAAAGTAATAAGGAGATAACTAGCAGTATTGAAGATTGCACAGGTCCAAGACCCTGCAGTAGCTGAACTAATGCCAGGAACATAATACAGAATTACTACAGCTCAGAAAGATAAGGCATAGTAAATCCTTCCTTGTCGCCTTAAAATAATTGGCTTAACATTAGTTTAGAAGCTGATTTAAAGCCTGAACCAGTGTGATACCTGAATAGTATGGGATCCTTCCTTTTGGAGGGGCGGGAAGTAATCGGTGCCACCAGAAAATCATGACAAACTAGCAAAGCTTTTAAATCTTTTGGCAGTAAAGGGGTTGCAGGAGAAGGGCAAAACCAGTGACAATTGGAATGGCAAAATGCTAGTCAAGTATCATCACGTCATGACAAATGCTGTGCACGTTGACCTGCTGCTTTAGAGAAATTTAAGTTCCTGGATAGTTCCATTACTTAGAGATATTTTGTTTATGGAAACAAAGGTGATTTCAAAATGGACTTAGACAACTCTACATTAGTAGACCGGGCTTCTGGAAAAGATTCAAGAGTATTTGCACACTTCCTTTAATAAGCTCAACAGCTTTTTCTTGGTAATAGAGGCATTTGTGGGATTTTTTTCTCCAGCACTGTCAGTTTTCACCTCAATCTCTGAACCTTTGCCAATTGGTAAATAAAACAAAAGATGTGGTAACTGCAGGAAACCCTGTATATCAGCTTCTTCAGAAAATCTTTTTTATAATAAACCCCATACTGCACATGGAGTCTGGAAATACAGACTTTATTACACTGCAGTGTTGGAGACTGACGACCATTCCTATTTTGCCTACAGAGTTACTTCTAATGTGCAGGAATTAAATGTAGCCCTCAGATGTACGGCCAGATCTCTCTGACCTGGACATCACTAGAACCACTCCTTCCAGACTGCAAGTGTTGCAGTGGCAATTTGTTTTGTCTGCAAACAAAAAATGATTCAGACTTTTAGTGGTCCAGGTCATATTCTAGACCCAGCTGTTCTAACTAAACCCAGACATCTAACTCAAGCCTAATGCTTGCACTGCATTTTCCATTTTAACTAGCACTTCCCGACAGACCAGTGATACCCTATGTTATACAAATGAAAATGTTATTTAGCCTCTTTCATGATGCAAAAAAACCAATAATCATTCTTTTCCTTTTCCTATGTATACCACTAGAGGGTATTACTTACTATTACAAATAACCAACCTGATAGGCAAATTCTTAGATTACATTAGAGAATATAAGACATTCATGAGTGATTATTAAGCTAAAGAAACATCTTGAGAAAACTCATGGATTATTTTTTTCCAGCCTCTACCCTATCACTCCTTCTGTGGTTGAATACTGATTTTTAGATACTCAGGTGATCCGTTTTCCCATTTATCTGTATATGCAATTTTGTGATTGCATTATTTATTAAATTTTGCAATTGGATGCTGTGCAAAGCAAATGAATATAAGGCTTAGAATGCATTTACAAGGAAATTACTTTTCTTTAAAACAGATCATGTACCTTAGAGAGAAGTGCTGCATTATTTTTTCTATTTTTTTAGTTGCTGGTATAATACCCCTAAGTTACATGAACTAAACCTAAGGGGCAGGCATTATGTATTTTGATTTGATAAAAACAAAAATTCTGTTGCTTTCAACCCCAAAATTTCTTTTAATCTCAGCCTAGTATGACTGTTGAAAGTTATGGTATGCACTATCTTATTTGCATGTACTTTGTGTACGTAAAAAAATGGAGTTTAGCTTAGCTCAAACTATCCTAATCATTTAGCAGTAGTTCGTGTTGGTCCAGCAAGTACCTTTTCAAACTAGCACATAGGCTAAACAATAATAAAATTGCTTTGCTTTAAAATTGGCAATTTTATCTAACTCAGCAGATATGAAGAGCTTTGTTCTTCTTGTTTACTACAGTTACCTATATAAAGAAATTGCAGGAGAGATTACAGATTGATATGCAGAGCTATAATTATTATTGATCAGTTTTCCTATCAAGAATGATGCTTCAGGAACTTAGCCTTCAAGAGCCCACTTAAACTTTGTGTTATCTTAAGAAAAACATGTACTCATAGGGATTTTAGGCTGATTCCATATTTTTTTATTTATAAATTCTCTGATCTCCTAAATATGTCAGTCTTGTACCTTACAGTAAAAAGCATTCATTTTTTACAGGGAGTCCTCAGAGATAGCATAGCACAAGACACTGTGAACAGATGGACAATGAACTAAGAAAGCTTTATTTCTGGTCTGTAAGAGAATAGCTAAACAAAGCTTCCAGAACTGAGTGATGACAATACCAACACTTAAACTGCTGATACATTAGGAAGACCGGAAGAATAATAACCATGTTTCTTGATGATCTATTTTCCTATTTCCTACCAGCACAGAGGTAAAGCTGTACAGGCATATTTGCTAGATTTGTAATTAGTGGACTCGTATCCTGAAGTATTTCAGGCTTCCACATTTGGAAAAGTGATTAATTGCTTCAGTTTTTGTTTCATAACTGCTTTCACTACTGGATTTCTTCTCCAGCTGTCTACCTCCAAATCCAACATATCCTTTCCCATTTCCTCTTGGTTTAAATTAGGGTCGTTAATTTTGCATTGGAAGCATACCCAGTACTTGATTTGAAACAAATAAGGATTCTCATTCTATACCCTTGACAGAAATTTACTTCTCCTTACTTAGAGACCAGCTACAGGTACAATTTATTTAGCATTCAGCCCAACTGATAGGGTCAGAAGCTTCTGGCAAAAGAAAGAAGGAGCAGCTGGCCACAGAGAAAGAGGGACAGGACCTTCTCAAGGGAATATTCTGCCAACTGAGTTTTTATTTAATCAGCAGCTGATGCACTTCAAGAGCTCCCCACCTCCTCAGTTGTGCTACAACTATTTGGCCATGCTCTGAGGGTGAAAGCTGCCAAGAGTTAAGACAAAGAGCGTAAATGTATTGATATGTAATAAAAAGGTAAAATGGTTCCCCACATTTCTCCATTATTCCTAAACCAAATGCAGTTGCAGGGATGTAACACACCCAAGATGATTGTCGATAGTCTAGGAAGTTAAAGCCCAGTCTTACCAGATAACATTAATGATCTTGAACAAGTCACCTTTTTCTCACGTGTAAGTAGAAAGTGGGATCTTTTGCCTAGAAGATTTGGCCTAGTTCAACCACAGTTACTGAAACTGCAGGGGGAATTCTTTGAAGGATGCACACAGCCTGCACAACTGCGAGTCAGAATGGCTAATTGTGGCAATTCCTTCCCAACGGAAAACCTCTCCGTGCCTTAGAATCCTCTCTGGATGGGAAGGTGGCTGTGCTGGTTCTCCAGCATCAGTCCAGCCCCATGCAGTACTGCACAAAAAATGGTTTATAACTAAATAATATTATTCCTGACATGTTTCAATTCTTTTGAGATTTCAGTATTATTCATAACAAATGGAGGCAAAATCACTATGTATTTGACCTACTACATTTGATTTTTAATAGAGCGAAAAATATAATTCAGTAAAATGCAACAAAAGGAATTTTTATTTCCTTTTTATTGTACTATGTGTTACTAATTCTGCTGCTAACTTGTGGCTTTTGTAATTATTTTAAACTTAATTGAGCATGTTATTGCAAGTCCAAGTACTGTCTTTTAATCTCTATATTTTGGTCATGGCCAAGCAGAAAACAATCCAAACCCATTCAAATGACAGAAGAAAACATAATAACCTTCATAATCTATTGTAGCCTGTCTATATGTGTTTAAAACTGACTGTCATTGGCAGATACAAACACTTAAACCAGTAGGAATGGATCAAAGTTATAGCTATTAAGTAAGCTTGCCTAGCAATGGAAGAAAGATTTTTGCATAGATGTGAATTTTCAGATGGTACTATTCATCTCTGAGTCTACTGTTTTGCTAGTATTGCTGTACATGACTAAACAGCTGTTGTTTTCCACCCAGGAGATGGCTGTACTTCGGTGGCTGGTAAAGTGATACCTGTACACGTATTCAAGGCCTATTTTAAGATCCTTTCGTGTTAGTGATGTTATGAGACTTTCCTGGATGATTTTGTCTAAAACATAAGAATGACACTGGATAAGTCTTCCATTTCAGATGATCTGAACACTGCTAGATGTCTACAGAAACACAGCCCATATGTTCCAATCCAAACACCTCACTTGGCACTAGTTGCCAACGTAGGAAGAAGAACAAAGAGAAAAAAAATGACCATGTTGTGACTGGGCTTTCAGAAAAAGCAGAGCATGAAAGAAAGACAGCAAAGCTGGAATAA